ATTAGCAGTATGAGCAGGTGCTCCGTCTTATCACTTTCCCAAGCCTTTTTTAATATTATACACTGTTCTTTCAGACACATTTACCGACCGAATTATTTCTTTCATGCATACTCCGGCGCGCAACAAAGCGACAACGGCTGACAGATTGCTCTCTTGTTTCGACATCTTTACGTTTACTCAACATTGTTTGTTCAAATCTTACACCTAACAGTATAAGCTATCCAGTGCTGCCAAATATATCTAAATCATGATGCACAAGCATGAGAAATTACTATTTGAAATTTACTGCAAAAATTCGTCACGCACCCTGTAGTGTGATAAACTGCACGTTTCCGTCAAATCGTTTTGGTGTCTTCGAACCACTTATTGCTTGCATCATAAGAAATAAGTGTACCGAAGACACCAAGAGGATTAGATGGAAACTCGCACTACAAAGCAGCCCAAGTATTCAGACACCAAGACGATTGGATGGAATCTCGCACTTTTAAAAAAGTGAAAACAAAAACATTTGTATCGATTAATTTGAATATTAGCAGCTTCGAGAACCTAGGGAATGTAATACTAAGTTTGGTTTACGTATATTTATTTCACTTTATTTCTTCACCAATTCCAAATGCTCGAACTTTCTTCTTAATTCCACCCATAAGGTTTTGTACAACGGTTGAATCGACATCATTTTCTGCTTTCAACTTCAACCATGATTTCAACATTTCCTGCTCCTTAGTGACAATTTTAGGATGCTTACGGAGTTCGCGTTTCATTATAGCCTAGTATCTTTCGATCGGCCACAACTCCGGTGTGTTTGGGGTATTGAGATCCTTTGGCACGAAATTGAAAATTCGTCTTGTACCACTCCAAAACGTCATTGGAGTAGTGAGAATACGCGAAAACCGGCCAAAACATTGTAGGAACGTTGTGTGATTTAAGAAACGGAAGCAGACATTCATGTAGACTTGACCATTTACGGTTGTAGTTGTTACGAAAGGCTTGCTCCGTTTCCGCACGAACAAATCGCTTGTCAAATCATTGTTGGTCTTGAGTTGGCCATAATCGGTCGCGGGCTCGGATTATGGGCAGTGCATATTAGTATAACAATTGACATCTTAAAAGTAAAAACTAAAACTAAATCTTATGTAAATATTAAGGGACTTTATTGTTGCAATTGAGAATTGCAACGATTTTTGCCTGAAATGATTAATTATTTCGTTGGACATTTGTTCTTAGTTTTCAAGTCTTAACATTAGAAATTCTATGTACCTCGAAGAAGTTCCGTGCGAAGAGCATGGAAATCGGAAGTTGTTATCACAGTAGGGGGGACCTTTTCCTTCTTGGCATTAAGCCGGGAAAGTTTTGTGGAATTTTGCCTGGATGATGGATCATTCTCATCATCCGTGAGCATATACAATTGATTGCTCAAATAAATTTCATCAGAAGGGGGATTCTTCTGCGTTTAGGCGCCATGGCGGCAGAAGAAAGTTTCTTCAAATCGACTTCCAAGCCGCTAACTATAAGTATAAGAATCCGAAGGATCGAAGAGGAATAAGAATCGAACAATGTAGTCAATTTGCAGGTAATATTTAGCACTGAGAATTACTGTTTAAATTTGTTGTAGCTTTATCACTGCAACTGCCATGTACCCATTAATGGGTAAAAAAGGACCCATTTTTGATGACTATATGAGGCTGTCAAATAATGGGTGAAGTTCAATTTCAAATAATGGGTACTCTTTTACCCATTTCTCAGAGCGCTTCGGGCGAGAATAATGAGTACTTTTTTACTCATTAATGGGTGAAAAGCAACTTAGATAACATCTTCCAGTCCTCGCTTCAGTCGCAAAGTGTCTTAACGATGTCGAATGGAAATTGCTCGTTTGAAAAGTAGGTATTTCTTATTTTATTTCTTTCTGCCCACATCTAAAAATCAATCTGAAACTTGCAGGGACAGAACTAGCCGGATCAGCAAGGAGATCCCAGGAGAGCTTTGGGAGCACAATTTCTTGCACGAACGATGGAAAGACCACTGGATGGAAAATGGTGAAATAAAGATATAAATATAAATAACGTTTTGTATTCTTAACTATTCATTGTGGCTCTTTCAATGATCCATAAATCATACAAATTCTAAAAGAAAAATTCTGGTTTAAGGATTTCAAAATTGGGTACTTTGTACCCATTTTATAAAGCCAATTATTATTTAAAAATGGGTAAAAAAGTACCCCATGATTTGACGTACAAGGTCTTTACCCATTAATGGGTAAAGACGTTTTACCCATTAAATGAGTTTACCTACTTTACTTCGAAATGGGCACTTTTTCACACATTAATGGGTACTTTCCAGTTACAGTGTAGGTAGAAGTAAAAAAAAAACACCAACTGGTGGAAACTAACGATTTTAAATTGGCTCAATACTTGACTAGCCTATTGGTCCTAAGCAAATCGAATAACATACCCCATTATAGTCTGAATTCTAGTACTACACTATGTTTATTTTGATTCGCTATGAAAGTTTGACAGATGAAATGAGGGGTTCGTGGATTTTCCCGAGGGGGGCGACTCTATCTAAGATGCTGGAAAAAATTTGTTTGCTGTTGTGAGATACGCGCACGCGAAAGAAGATTGATGAAGATTTTAAAGATTTCCTGCAAAAAGGTGGAAAGCGATATGAGTAGATGGCTTTAGATGCAAGAGTTTAAAAAAGATTTTTCGTTTGTGTGAGATTTTTCAACCATCCAAAATTGAGATTTAGATGTGTCGCTCCCCCAGCCATAATCGCAAGTCAGTCCCATCTGTAAAAAACTGGAAATGAGAAAACAGCGTTCAAAGATTTTTTAAGTTTTCTGATTCGACACTTATTTTGGAGGGATAAAATTAAAAATATACGTACAATGCGATAGAATGCATCTATGTTTATCCAAAAATGTCGTTTCATTTTATGGCCAAATCTAGGTGGGACTGACTTGCGATTACATTTAACGTCAATGAGAAAAATAACCGCAAGTCAGTCACAATTCCATGACGATGCTGCATTAGTTTAGCACAGAATTGAACAGTAGAAAGATACCATGGTCCCATAGAACGTTATTGAATGTTTCTGGATTTGTTCCGCGGGGCCGGAACATATTCCGGTGAGTATGGGTCTTTTTCAGACAAAAGCTTTTCATTATCGTGCCAAACCCACCATGCGATAATCAATTCACATAAGAATTCAAAAATAAGATCAATAAGTCATGATGACTGACCATGTTGGCCACACCCGGACATGTTCTGGATATCCCCGGGGAAGTGTTAAATCCTTTTTAAATCAAAATCCATCAAGCGATACATCAAATCACATGATAATTCAAAGCCATATCCATTGGCGGTCAAACTGAGTATCGTAAGAACTATATTGACCACATCCGGACATGTTCCAGATACCCTAGGGGAAGAAGACACAATTTGTCTTGACACAAATCTCATGATGCGATATGTTGTCTAACATTTCTAACATATTTTTTTCATAATGGGACTGACTTGGGGTTACTTTTTTGCTGTGGGACAATTTGACTTGGTATTGTTTTTCAATTTTTCTTGAACAAACCACCTTTTTTCAATAGCACATCTCAAAAAACATAGAAAGATAAAGTGAATAATGATGCCAACTCAAAATTGATAAAAATGCAGATGGGACTGACTTGCGATTACCGACAGTGCATGTATAGAAAACCTGTTTAAAATACTGAATTGTCAAAGCAGGAACAATGTAAACACACGTTAGATATAAATCATAACAATTAAGGCTGGTAAGTTCCTGTAGTTGCTGGAGCACCTAGGTTAAAATGAAACGTAGATTAATTTCCATTTGTAACAAAGTTTAAAAAATACTGAGGCTGTGATATATCAAATGAGTTGCAGACGATTGTATGCGGTTCACAACATTTTATTGGCAACTTGTTTATCCCAAAAGTGGCACATCTTACGGAGGAAAAATCATCGACCTTCATATCAAATTTGTAGCGTCTTAAACCTCATATCCAATATAAATTTGCGTCCTTTTTTGAATGTCAATACAATAATCGTTTACAATACAGACAATTGTTTCTAACTTGAGATTATCGAGCTAGGAAGGATTTCGTATTATGGAGATAAATCCTAGATTTTTATGGGAAATATAGTTAGTGACTATCGAAGGAAGCGACTCTATCTGATATACTGAGAGGATTGTGTTCTGCTGTAGTGGGATGCACGCACGGTGAGTTGATAGGAAGAACTTACACAAAGATGGAGCGCGATAAGAGTAGATGGACTGGATACGAGAAAGGCAACAAGATTGATTCAGTAGGTGTTATGTTTCAAATATCTAGGATTGATATTATGAGATGACGCCCCCCTCGGTAGGTATTAAAGCAGTTGTTGTTAATTATTCTGATACTTGAGAATTAGGAAGTGTTAACTGTATCAGCGATTTTTTGACCGGTCCAGCCATAAAATTTAATCAGTGATAAATAGGTAGGGTAAGGTGGGCAAGATGGGTCAGCTAGTAAATTTGTTAATTTATTTCATTGTTAAAATCATCAGGTTCAATGCAACCCCAATGATGGTTTGCTTTTTCAAACCAGCATTTGGGCTACATTAAGCCTATTGATGTTGACAATCAATAAAATTTTTAAATTAGGTAGATTACCCATCTTTCTCCGTAACCCATCTTGCCCCACCCCCACCTTACCCTACACAAAAATCATTTAATCAATTCGACAGTGAGCATTCATAAGGGCGAATACGCGATGATCGATTCTCTTCATCGATTTTCTCTTTGCATTGCTACAGCTAGGCGAAACAATTTTCTAGAATTTGTTCAATGCAGAGTAGTAACAGGTTGTATTGGCTATCAAAAGCAACAGCAAACGCATCGAGAAACGTTAAATCTAGCGAGTTATTAACAAAAGAGAAAATCGACGAAGAGAATCGATCATCGCGTATAGGCCCTTATGCATGCTCACTGTCGAATTCTCGATGAACATTTCAAATGGTACTATCTGCTTTGATCGATTCTCTTCATCGACTTTCTCTTTTCATAACCACAGCTATGCAAACAGATTTCGCGCTAATTCTATCACATAGTTTGATAAAAGATGTACTTATCTAGATTCCAAAACGTAAAATACAACAGGGAAAGGTTTTGCAGCTGAGTTCAAGCTGAACATTGTATTAGGTCCTAAGTAACATTGATCGAATATCTTCGTTGACTTTCTCTTTCGTTAATAACTTGAGCACATCTGTTTCTTGTTTTGTTGGTCATATTAGATGCTAGATAAAAACTTCTTTTATCGATCTGTGTGCCGAAAATACCTGAGAATATATTTACATGGCCATGGGAATACAAAGAGAAAGTCGACGAAGAGAATCTGTCAATGTTACTTAGGACCTAATGCAATGTTCAGCTTAAGTTATTGACGAAAGAAAAAGTTGATGAGGAGAATCGATCAAAGCAGATAGGACCATTTGAAATGCCCATCGAGAATTCTCCTGTGCTGTAAACCTTAGCAGCTACCGCAGATCGCAGTCTACAAACCCATCTTCATTGCCATCATTTTCTATCAGCAACTCCTTATCATCGCGATGCTTTTTCATCCTGTGATACAACACGTAGCATCCAATCATGCCCAGAACCAGGCTGAACAGAACTCCGAACGTAATGAAACCATTCCTCAACGAATTATCATCCACCGGTTGTTCTTCCAGCAGTTCTTCCACTTTGGCAAAGTACCAATCGCTGAACGTTTCCGCACCGACAAGTGACACGACCTGAGCTCTAACCATATACTCTCCCACCGATAAATTTCCGAAACGATATTGCTGGCCCGCTTGTTCGTGCTCCAGTCTAGTTATACATGCACGGCGGGTAAAGGGAGCTTTACTATTCAGAGCCGAAATTTCCACATTGAATGCAACAACAGCTCCATTGACCGCTTTTGGTTCCTCAAATGATACGACAATGCTGTTTGATTCCAAATGCTCATGAGTCTTTGGTTTGATTACAGTCAGCTCCATCGTTGGCAGAATAAGCGAAGGGTATGTACGATCAGAATATATGCTATAAGCACTACAGTAGCTCATATTCATGGAACTACAAGCGAATAGCTGAAAAGTGTAGTAGTGGTACGGCCATAGGTCTGTAACGGTAAATTGTGTTACATCAGAGAATTCATGCAAATAAATGCGATTTTTAAAATTCACGGTTTCCCGTTTCGCACGATGATGGCTTTTAGTACTGGAGTCAGCAGTGTCTTGCGGTGTGTTTAAAAAAGTATTGTACATTTTAGTGTGGAAATCGCTCGAAAATTGTACTTCAGCAATATTCTCATGTGATATGGATCGTTTCTTTCGTGAATAGAAATCGTTGTCAGGATCGGAAAATTCCGGAACGTCCAGGAAAATGCTATCATCAGAGCAACACATTTCCGCGGTACATTCTTCAACCATTTCCGGTTCCTTATATGCTTCTCGTGGATGGAGGCAGTAGTTGCGCTGATCTAGCAGTTTTTGATCATCCGGTTGAATGAAAACTTCAACACGATAGCTCTTCACTAGGTTGAATTCCGATTTGAGTATTTTCCAAGAGAAAGTTATTGAGCTATCCGTTTTCTGTGTGGTGAATACCTTCAACGGTTGGGTAGGTCTTGCGATCTTTGTGACGAAATATTCCACATACGATTGACCGATCTTTCTTTGCGTCACGTTGTGAACGTTGTCTGTCAGGTAGGTTTTGACGTAATATGCATACTTGGTCAAAGGCTTCAAGCCGGTCAAGTCGTGTGAGAGGAATTCTTTATGCGTTGATATATCCTTCATCTGAACCAACTTTGACTGCCAACTATACTCGGAGCAAACATCTCGTCCATCATAGGGGGATCTTGGTTTATCCGATGGGGTGAAGAAAATTATGTAACCCAACAGCGTCTGACTGACAGCCTTCTCGAATCTAGTCCAATATATCGTCACGTTCCTACTGGATAGTACTTCAGCTTTCACTCTAATATGTTCGACGTTGCATGACTGCATAAATCCATTGGAATCAACGTTAATTAAATCATTCGTGTTGTTGTATTTCGTGAAATTCTTCAATAATTCTATCTGCGAGACGCAGAGTAAGGGGTTGTATACAAAATACATACTTCCGGCAATTAATTTTAGTGGCCCAAAGTTCTCGTAGTTCCACAATTTTTGGAGGTTCATATTTTCGTACACCATGAGCGAATAGTTGCCATGTCCCAATTCCAACTGCCCATGAATGGTTTTTAAACCTTCCAGGAATTCCAACGAGGGTAATGTGTTCGAGCGATACACCTTCAAATATCCCATAATTTCCTCTATGCTTCCCAGCGACTTTTTCAGCTCTTCAACTAGGTGCGGATTATCCTCATTCATCCGTATTTGTAGCGTTCCGTTTATGATCTTACATCCTTGCAATCGTTCGGCATCAAGCAAATACATAATTTGAGAGCCTTCGCAAATTTTTGGACACTGCTCGTGACACTCATAGCAAGTATGGTTGGAAAAATCGGCGTCAAGTTCTTCTACGTCGGTCGCACTGTATCCAGCAGGACACTCCTTCAGGCATGAACCCTCGTACAGCAAACCTCCGCGATTGATACAAGTTGGTTTGCTTATACATCGCAGCGTTTCATCATACAATACTCTGCAATGACAAAGAATGTATTTGTTAAACCTGGAAAATTTATCTTATTTAGGCCAGTGAATGATTCGGCGCACCAAGATGTAAAAGATCCCGTCCTCTATTGTACCCTGTGAGATATGTATACAAGAAGCAACAAAGGTTTAAATAATTCAGGTACTTGGATACCAAACAAAGATTGAGTGTCTGATAAAATCTCAAATAAATTTTAAATCTAAAATTGTGTTGACTTTTGCTCGATTCATAACGTTTTGCAGTTTAACACTTCGAACACAATGCCTCCGGTAAAATGTGTAACGGCAAATTGGCAATGTTTGAAAAATCATTGATCAGCAATTTTTCACGTAGCTTCAACGTGTAGATTATTTTGAGTGTTTAGCCTCGTCCACTTGACAGATAGAAAGTGTTCGTCTCCGAGAAAGTTTCCTGAAATGACTTCATCATCAATATTTCTATACTTACTTACTTAACGATCCTGCGCACCTCCAGGGGTGCAAAGGGCCTTTGTGAAAGATTTCCATCCTGGGCGATTACTACCTTTGGCCTTGACCCGTGCCCAAGTCAAATTTCGGTCAACGTTCTTTTTTTTTTATCCATTTCGTTTATTTGGAAGGCTCAATCGCGTTAGCTTTACGGAGCCGATAATTCATTGTTCACTGTTTGTAACAAAATTCACTTAATTCTATGTCTAGTAGGAGTTGGGCCGATTACTCGCGGCTTACTCGAGGTTAGAGGGGTACATTGTTGAAGGATAGGATCAAATGGTCAACGTTCTTAAACGCTGTCCAGACTGGAGAGTTATAACATGTTATAACGGTTGTCAACTAATTGCTACACAGATACCACCATCAGGATAGCGCTATAACATGTTATAACTCTGTAGTCTGAACGTACTATTAATTTCACTGTTTAGGCTCCGCCGCCACGAGCCTCTGGGTCTGCCTCTGCTGCGATGTCCTGCTGAATTCCAGTCCAGTGCTTGCTTGCAGATTTCGTTTCCGCTTCGTCGTAGTGTGTGGCCGACCCACCTCTACTTCCGTTCACGAATTTCTGTCTCTATCGGCTTCTGATGACACAAACGATGAAGCTCGGAATTTGAGATCCAATTGTGGGGCCACCAGGCACGAATTATGTACCGCAGGCATCGGTTGATAAACACCTGCAGCTTCTGAGTGTTCTCCGCTGATACACACCATGTTTCACCGGCGTATAACAGCACAGACTTCACGTTCGAGTTAAAAATTCGGATTTTGATGCGTCGACTGATCTGAATCGCTCTCCATACATTTCGCAAACTGGCAAAAGCAGCCCTCGCCTTCTTAATCCGTGCACCTATGTTGCTCTTGGTGCCGCCGTCCGACGCTATCTGTCTGCCAAGATTTTGGAAGCTTTCGACTTTCTCCACTGCCTGCCCAGCTACCGTGAAATAGGAACGGTTTTCCGTGTTGACATCCAACGATTTGGTCTTGTTGACGTTGCTGGTTAGACCTGCTTCAGAGGAGCGTTCCACAAGGTCGTCGAGCTTACTCTGCATGTCAGAGCGCCGTTGTGCTAATAACGCAACATCATCAGCCAAATCGAAGTCGTTGAGATGCTCCATAGTAATTGCTGCCACAGCAAACCACGATTCGGTACACGGTCAACGGTTCCAACCATGATCTCGTCGATTACGATGAGGAACAGTAGCGGTGATAATATACATCCTTGCCTCACACCCGCGATTACCCGAATCGGGTCAGACAAAGCTCCGTTGTGCAACACTCTGCATGAGAAAGCCTCGTACTGCGCTTCGATGAGGTTGACGATCTTATCAGGGACTCCCTTGCGTCTCAGAGCGCCCCACAAGTTTCCGTGGTTTAGTCGGTCGAAAGCTTTTTCGTAGTCAATGAATACCAAGTACAGGGACTCTTGGAACTCATTGACCTGCTCCATGATGATGCGGAGCGTGACAATATGGTCCACACAGGATCTTCCAGCACGGAATCCTGCCTGCTGTCGTCGGATAGTAACGTCGATCTTCTCCTGTATCCGATTGAGGAGAACTTTACACAGAAATGTGAGAACAATACACAGTAACATGATGCCTCGCCAGTTGTCGCATACAGTTGGATCCCCCTTCTTGGGGACTTTTACCAAGACGCCGTGCATCCAGTCGGCTGGCAAAGTCGCGGTGTCCCAGATATAGACGAATAGTTGATGCAACATTTGTGAGGATAGCATGGGGTCAGCTTTGAGCATCTCTGCTGATATGCGATCGACCCCCGGGGCTTTGTTGGACTTCATACTTCGGATGGCTGCTTCTATCTCTTGCAATGAGAGCTTCAGTGTTCACGCGAGTAACGCGCCACACCCTTGGCGGATCATGCCGAGATGTTGATGGTTGGTTGACCGTTGAAACTTCGAGAAGTTATTCAAAGTGCTCAAACCAACGTTTCAACTGGTCCGTGGGGTCGGTGAGCAACTGTCCAAACGCGTCTTTCACAGGCATCCTTGGGTTCATCCTTGCCCCGCTCAGGCGTCGTGAAACATCATAGAGGAGGCGGATATCGTCAGTTTCTGCGGCTTTCTCCCCTTCATCAGCCAGGGAGTCCACCCACGCTCGCTTGTCCCGTATACATGAACGCTTAACTTCCCTCTCTAGAGCCGAATACCGCTGACGGGCCTCGTTCTTGGCTCCTCGGGTCCTTGCTCGCTCTATCGCGGCTTTTACTTCTCTCCGCTCCTCGATCTTCCTCCAGGTTTCATCGGTGGTCCACTCCTTCCTCTGAGTGCGCAGCTCACCCAGGTTGTTCTCGCTTGTTTCAATAAAGGCATTCTTGATGCTCGTCCACTGTTCTTCTACGCTACCACCTTCCGGAATATTAGCTGCGCAAGCCTAGAGTTCTTCGACGAACGATCTCTCTACTGCTGGGTCTTCCAGTCGGCGTGTGTTGAATCGCCGCCCGAATCTCTCCTCCCGCCGTTGAACCCACGCAATGCGTAGGCGGATCTCACCAACCAGGAGATGATGGTCAGACGCGATGTCAGCGCTGCGTTTATTCCGAACATCAAGAAGGCTCCGTCTCCATTGTCGGCTCTTGCAGATGTGGTTCTCTGTATATCCATCACGGGAGACCCACAAAACTCTGCAGGCAGCTCGCCGTTCTCACTCCTGGGACTTAGTGAAGTCCGCTGGCCGGACTTTGGAGAACACAAGCTGCCTTCGGGACAGGTACTTTTATATTCTGGTATGCGAGGTGAAAACGCTCCGCGACATCGTGGAGTTGGCTTTCTGCTTAGCGCCCAAGCACAGGCTGCGCTCATCAAGTGGGAACCTATCAATGAGAGAATAATCGTTGCCAGATTCAGAACACGGGTCCGAAACCTTACCAGGCGTTATGTACCTTCCTCCGGACCGTAAATCTAATTTGAGCTGCGTTGAGAACCATATCAGTTCCATTGGTGCTGTATTGTCCCGATTACATCACAACGATCTAGCTCTGCTATTTGGCGACTATAACCAGTCTGGGCTTGTTTGGAATATTTCCGCGAATGATCATCCAATCATTGACATTCTTCGGTTGTATATGCCTGCTCTTTTAGATGGTTTTAGCCTGCATGGTTTAATGCATATTAATTCTGTACCAAACAGAAACTCTCGGCTGCTTGATCTTGTGTTGGTGAACGAAGCCACCGCACTAGAGTGCAAGTGTCGCTGAGGCATCCGAGCCTCTGATACATCTAGACGCCGATCATCCAGCGTTGGAAGCATTCATCAATCGATCAGTTCCTGTTCTCTATGAAAGCACACACTAAGATTTTTTTACAGGAGTCAGTATTTTTTACTGGGTTTTTGAATTGCTGAAAAAGTCGGTAAAAATTCAAATGACCGTTATCCGTAAGGAATCAATGAAATCGATCAATTTTATTTTCTATCATTAAATGGGGTTAACAGAACTTAGTATGTACAAGTTCAGAACAAATTTTCTCATTAATAAATTTTCCACAGATTTTTAAACTTTTACCGAACAGTTCCGTAATTCAAAAACTCGGTAAAACCGTACTGACTCGATTAGTGTGCATCGTTGATGTACAAAGCCTGACTACGTCGCATTGAATCACTCACTGGCCCAGGTAGATTGGCAGTCGCTTGACTTGTGTTCGTCCATTGATGAAGCCGTTAACTATTTCGACGAAGTTGTTAGCCGGTTAATAATGGATTGTGTGCCTCTGAGGAGACCTGCTCCAAAACCTGTAAGGTCCAATGCTCGATTACAATACTTGAAGCGTGTGAGATCGAAGGCTCTTCGAAAATACAGCCAGGCCCCTAATCCATTCACCAAGCGATTATTTTCGTTAGCAAGTAATTGCTACCGAATGTACAACCGTTTTCTATACAAGAAGTACTCAAGACGTATGCAGACCAATCTCCGGCGTTTTCCTAAGCTATTCTGGACGTTTGTGAAGACAAAAAGGAAAGAGGATGGGCTACCGCTTGAGATTCATCTAAGCGATAAAAGAGCCAACATTAATTCAAGAGCAAATTTTCATTATGTCGTAAGTAACATTCGCACCGATCCGAGAAAAATAAAGTTTTGTTTTGATGACCGAAAAGTTATTCCTATTTCCAATTAAACACATATAATCTCATAGTGATAGCAATGTTTAACATATGTAGCCGGGTTTTAATCATACAAAGGCAAATCGCTAGCTTTCATGCTAAGAAACACTGGTTTTTGAGTCAAAAGTTATTATACGTCGTTTGGTGGCCCCTATTGTTACTTAAGTCAAAGTGTATTTACCAGGATATTCGGGAGAATTATCAATTACGTCTCCTTACGTGCAGCCCATTCATCATTTTAGGACCACCGAAAGCATCTTACCAACAAACAGTTCGATTTATTCACTTTAATAATGAGAAAGCGAAACGACGAAAGTACACTTTTCACGGGTTTCTCAGTGCTGTTACTTAAGGCAAACGGCATCTCCATAGAAATCGGGTGACTTAAGTAACATCGAAAACT